GTACTAGACCCTGCCCAGGATCTAGTGGGGTCAAAGTTGATATTTCTTGGAATAATTATGTTTATGTCCGACGATGGGGATATGGCTTTAATGGACCGACTGGGGCCTAGTAGAAATAGAGCCATATCGCCATTGTCGGACATAAAATTATATAATCTGACATACGAGAAATATAAAATTGGTAAAAATGATACACTACGAGACGGTGAAAAATCAAATTCAGTCCCCAAGAAAAATGAGAATTTATCAAAAATCTAAAGATAACATGGATTGCGTTTTATTACAAAGTGCGGCAGAGTTTATTACAAAGTGCGACAGACAGTTATTACAAAGTGCGACAGCTCAGTTATTATAAAGTGCGACAGACTTTAATTACAAAGTGCAACAGTTATTACAAAGTGCTACAGTTATTACAAAGTTCGAAGATTATTACAAAGTGCGACGCAACACATCATCAGCATAGGTAAATAATCATCATCATTAACCTCCTCAGACATTATCATTATCATCACCATCCATATACACAGCATATCATAGCCACGACCATGATGGAAATTTTCATAATCGCCATCATTTTCTTTATTGTAATTGATGCATAAATAAAAAGATTTTATTTTTAAGATGATAAAAATATTTTTACAAGCAATTTTTTTATTGGTTGAACATGTAAAATTCCAAAGAGAGTTTTTTTTTTTTTAGTTAATTACTCAAATATAATAAAATGCACTGAGGAAAGCAACTATGAAGAGATTATAGAACCAGAAAAACCAAGGTCAAGAGTTCAAAACTGTGAAACAAGTAAAGTAAGAGTCTGTTTCATTTTTTAAAATTTGAATGTAACACATTTGTAATGGCAGAATTAAAAGTTTTGCTAAGTTATTACCAATAATATAACATTAGGTTTTACAGCTATTAAAGTGAATTGGGTGGGGGGGGGAAATACAAAACATTATTTTCTGTGACTACCTCCCTCTCCTGAAAGAGCAAATAATAAAATTGTAATTTTTTCCATTTTCCCGAAAGAGTAAATATTAAAATTAGTTCTTTTTTTTCTTTTTTTTTTCATTTTTAGAGTATTATGCACTTGACTTTTCCCTTTTCCCCTAGTCAGTGCATATTTGCAGATAATTTTGGCTCTGAACTTTCAAAAGCAGGTCACAGCAATATTTAGTAGTTAGTGGGTGGGGACAAGCCAAACAGAGTTTAATATTTTAAACCTAACCATACATTAACCCTAATGTAATGTATTAAGGTTCAATAATATTAACTTATATTCCAATGGAATATCATCGATACCCCTTCACTTGTATTTTTCATATTTTTTCTTCTTTTTTTTTTTTTGAATGGATTTGTTTTTTATTATTTTTTTCATTTTTTAAATATTAAAGTCACTATATATTGTTTGTATTATGTCAATCATGTTTTACTTTGAATATCAGTGCACCAGCAATTAACCAAACGGTGATATTTAGTTTTAGCAAAATAATAAATAAATAAAAAGCCTCCCTCATAACATTTTCCAGACTAAATAGGGTAAAAACTAAAAGACATAATATTTTTATAGGGTCTAATAACATCATAATTAAGTAGGCACCTTCAATTAAAGTATACATGCAGTGTAATACAACCTTTAATAATAATATTTCTTTTAATGACTTAACATTTATTTGGTAATATACCAATACAATGGATTGAATTTTCAAATGATCACTATATTAATTAAACATTAATGTACTAAATCTAAATAGACGTATACATGAATCATATGCTAACATGGTCAAAATCTGTCCTTTAGCACTGTCAAATGAAAGAAACTAATACTGTATGATGAAATCAAACTTAACAAATAATTTACTTTTCATTAATCATGTACCTAGCAAGGGCATTTTATTTCCTTTCAATAAATTTAATATGGAATTCTAAATTTTGTTTAAAAATGCATTTTTTTGTTATTTAATGGAATTGATTCATAATGTACATCAGCTAAAATAGAATGGTTTGATGAGTAAAAGTATGTTATATATGATTTCAGTAATTAAATATTTTAATGTTCCTACCACTACAATTTACTACAGCAACTCTTCTTGGATTATAAGAAACTATTGATAATCCAGAAGGAACATTTAATCCATCTTCTTTTTGATCAATTCTTTTAATGAAATGTCCATCACTGTTGAATAACTGTAGTTTATTCTCACTTGTTACAAGCATGTTATTATCCTTATCTATTAACACTGCATATGGATACTGCACCTTACCATCCTGATCACCTCCACCTACAAGAACCTTGATGAACTTGCCATCATTGTCAAATAATTGTAATCTGTTATTACAACAGTCTGCTATAATGAGATGTCCTTCATTAGTAATAGTAACATCCCATGGTGCCCACAATCTGTCTCTTATACACATCTAGATGTGTATAAGAGACAGAGGTTTTACAGCTATTAAAGTGAATTTGGGGGGGGGGGGGGGAAATACAAAAAAAATGTTTCTT